ACGAGTTAGTGAATTAAGAATGTAAAAACAAATAACGACTTTTTTTAGTATAGGGTTGTGGAAATTGTTGAGTTTTTATTGAGTAGATCGCGCAATATCGTGGTTTGGACATTATCGGATCCCGGCTCAATGGTCTAGAGATTAAGTGTTCGCAAAAAAACGAAGGTCCTATGTTGGAGTCCCGTGTTTGGGATCGTGGATGTACTCTGCTGAGGATAGGACGAAACGACCATCCAGTACTTTCAGGTTCTCGATGATGGTCTAACACTGATCGGTTCATTATCTCAGTAATAACGGCTTCTATTTATAAATTATTCTTACGAATATGACGACAACTCTTGTTCTCGCATAATGTCATCTCCGTAACTGTTCGGGGAATTTATTGACAAAAACTTTATTGGGGATAACCAATTTAGTGTAAAACTATGTATATAGTTTTCTTAAAGAATAAATTTTATTCAGCATGATAAATAACAGTAAACTAATAGGTAAGAAATATATTTCTGCATATATTAAAGATTTCTACAAAAGGCAACTCCAGGTAAGTCAGGGACTATTTTCTCTATGAGATACATAATTTTCATAATGGTCAGTGGATATAACTAAACTATTCTTGTCACATACATAAATTTGATTCATGCGATGAGTAAACACAATTTTTAGTAGATTTCTATGCCTATATATGTATGTGTTTGTTTACCTAGGAAGTTGTGTACATAAGCGTTTTTCTTCCTCACTCCACCCTTGTTCAAGCTTTATCTTCATTGAAATTATCATTTCTCCAAAAAAAAAACTTTTATGAGATTACTAATTTTCTGCGAGTGAATAAATAAATAATTATTTTTGGTACTCGGTAAGCATATGAAAAGTTAAGGAGAATTTATTTATTTCCCTGTTGTAATGAACAACTACTGCTGATGTCTTTCCATCATATTTATTGATTTATTTTCTGTTGTCTGTCTGTTTGTCTATCTATCTGGCTGGCTGTCTATAGCTGATTTCTATTTTTCGTTGAACTTCTTTCGGTATTTGCATATATGATTGGTTAAAACTGGAATTCAGATATTAAAAAAAATTCGATAAAAGTAATAGTAAGCAACGTTTTTTGCAAGATTCATGTGATTCATATAATAAACCATTGAACGACAGGTCATCGGGCTCAGTGAAAATACTCTTGTGGAGATTGTAGTAATTTCAATAGTTGAGATCATGAGTCAATTAAAGCTAGACCACCATGGAAAACCTGGGAGCACTGGACGGCCGTTTCGTCCTATTGTGGGACTTCGCAGCAGTGCGTATCCACGATCCCGCCTCGCGGGAATCGAACCCAGGACCTATCAGTATCACTCTAAGCGTTTAACCAACTAGACCACTGAGCCGTCATCCAATGGTGTTAATGTCTAACTTCAACTAATCCACGAAATTGAGCGACATATCCACCATTGTCATCAGGTTTTCCATGGTGGTCTAGCTTCAATTGACTCATGATCTCAACTATTGAAAGAAAATACTCTTATTATGAGACTTTAATACTTGTGGATTCGATCACTCCAAAAAGGTTGTACACTACACTGATTATAAAGTCTTAAGCTACTTGTTTAGTACTCGTCTGGTTATAAATGTTTCATTAGCTGATCTTAGTTATTTTAGAATTCTTTTTTTTTAAATTATAAGGTGTTGAGATTCAGGAATTCAAAGCTTCATGTCACGGATTGATTTAGGTTTGACTAAAGTTGGTTTATGGTGTTAAAGGGAGCTTAGCAATTTCAACAACCCTTTATGCTAAAAGCTCATCGTTTACTCACTAGCGAAGAACTTCATGTTGGGTTTGAGATAAATATTATCAATGAAAATGGATAATGATCCTGCTATGTCTTGAATCTAGTGAAGTTATACATGTAAACCGTTGAATATCAGCTTAGTAGTCTGAAGATTAAATACCTTGTGCTGAGAATTCTTAAGACACAGGGAAATTCATTCACTGATAATCTCTTCAATTAACTTAAAGTATTTTAAACATTTGATGATAAATTATTAGTATGCTAGACTTGACCTTATTCCACGTAAGATACATCGAGATACAGGATAAAATCTTCATTGTTGACTATTGCAATAATCTATAAAATGACATATCAGTCATGCAGATAGTATTATCCTGGAGAAATAAATATCAACTTAATATCATGGATTTCGATAAGCATTAAAATATAAGAGAAAATGTAATTTTGTTCATTCTTTCGAAGAGATTTACAGTAATCTAGCTCATACTAGCAGGAGAATCTATGATACTGCATGATTTGAAAACAGTTTAAAGGAAACGTATATGTATGCTATGAAACAAGGTTTCCTGAATAAGAAGTGTTGTGGAAAAAGGTAGGAAACTCATAGAACCTATGTTACTCAATAATTTAAAAGACTATCCATCCAATGTATGTACATACTATCACAGTTGTTGATATTTCTACCATTTGCGAATAATACAAATATCTAATTTTACTATTAAGGAACTATTATTCTGGATTAATTTTAATTCTTTTTTGTTATGTGTGAAACTAATTAGTTGCTAAAAGTGTTTTTAACCTCTATGATATATTGAAACTACACAGGTAAGTTGATATTACAGACCTTATCATTTTCGTCGTAAGCTGCTGAGCCTACTTTTAATTAAATCAGTAGTCAGTCATCATTTACTTAATATCATCTTGAGTTACACTTTATTTGCTGAAAATTTTCAATCGGTGTTCTGAAATATATTACATTAAATGTATGTACCTCTAAAATTATCACACAATCGATCTTATCTGTCTCTGCACTTTACTTAATTAACGCATCACCCACCCCTTCTGTTTTTGAATCCCAACACCAAATGACTTTCGACCTGTTCCTGCATATATATATATATATATATATATATATATATATATATATATATATATATATATATATATATATATATATATATATTAATTGTTTTACATTATATCTTGCCTCAATGTAAACTTTCATTACATAACTGGTTGCAAGCAGCTGATGAGAAACCACAAAAATATAATGAATTCATATGATACTACATCCATGTTTGTTCTGGTTTCATTTAAACTTATGGTATAATTACGATTATATTGTAATTTCTTATTTATGTTCGTTCACGGTCAAAAGTTAATTTACATTATCACACAAGTCTGTTTAGTGAACTAATCTGTACAATAGAACTTTATTTGTTTGCTGTATTGTTGTTCTGGCTATCATGTAAGCAAGAGAAACTCCGCCCCGGACAAATAGGTGTTAATCACTGATATCAGTCATTATTTCTCTGTCATCGGAGTCATCAGTCTAAGAAAGGGCATTGGTCCTATGCAGGTGATCTCGGCGAATTAATCACCAGTCGCATTAGATACCTCGATCGCTCCCATAAGAACTGCCTTATCACACGAGAGTAGAGCAGTCTCTGTCAATGGTATTGGATGTCGTCTCAGTGTATCGCAAACTGATTGAAATCGGAATGGCATCATTGAACACCGACCCAGTGGCCTTAGTTGTTGATAGTTTACTGCGGGACCGACTGGTTCTGGATTTGACTCTTAGTAGGGTCATGTGCAAGTATTGCCGAGAAGTTCTATATTAGGCGGAAACAGCTACCCAATATTCCCTGGTTTTTAATAGCATCCCAACTGAAATCAATCTGTAACCAATACAACATACAAATTAAACCAATCTCTGCAAAATCCCCTGTTTAGATCGTAATCAGGATTCATTAAATATCTAATGAACACATGTCTCTGGATGTGGAATTTAATTGTTGATCGTATCATATCAACACGTGCATAGGGTGTTCATCAAAAACAATAACTATAACGAGCTATAGTTCATGTTGTCCTTGAAAGAGGTTTAAAGTAGTAGTGTTTTTTCTTCATTTCTCGGTTGTTGTTTGAGGAAATTGAAAGAAATGATTAATGAGGTTAAACACATCTCAACGTAAACCCAACAGGCAAGTTGCAGTTATGGATTATATCACATAAAAAGAAATTTTTTTGTCAAACATAGATAAGTATAATAATGACTAAAGGTCATTAGGTACTGATAGAACTTAAACAACAGATCAATGTGTAATTACCACACCCAAAGTATATGACTACTATTATTTTGATTACAAGATAGAATAGTAAACATTTAGTTCAATAATATAAAAAAAATTGTGTTCTCCTTTACGATTTTACACAATATCCCCTCCTCTGAACATAAAATAGATTTTCAATATTACTAGTTTAGTGAAATAATACTTTTTTGGAAGCTATGAAATAAGATGTCCCTTTCTCATGATTGATGTCACAAAAATTATGCACTTAGAATATGGCTGAAATGATCGGCAGCTGGTTTCTTCTCTGCCACATTAGGTTGCTGATGATGATCTCTTGTCCGTGGATCTGGAATATCTAATAAAGGTATCTGCCTATAAATAGTTTTCCAAGTTTCAACTTCGGACGACAGATTTGTTTTAATATTTATGTCGGAGGACGAGTTAATCCACTTTTTTAGAGTTAGTTAGATCTGTTTAACTGGATTTTCAGGCATGCAATAATAACTAATTGCAAACCTTTTAAAATATCATCCGGCTGCCTACATAAAAACATAGGTAAATCTTCTGAATCTGTAACTATGTCGTTGAAATCTGCTAATCCACCTCTTTATAGTTAGCAAGGGAATCAATATAAAACTATTCTCCATATTGAATCAGATTATTTTAAGCAATTTTTCCTCAAATTTATCTTTGTTTATTTCATCATGACGTTTATTTCTTCTTTTTCTTACTTTTAAAGATTATATGACATTAGGCAATATCTTTACTTCGTGATCGCTTCACTACTGAACTCTAATACCATTAAATCATATATATATATATTGGGAATTGTTTTGTAATAATCTTTTTACCATCAAATATATTTCGAAATTCCCTATACTTATTAAATAAACAATCATTTGTTTGATTTACAATCGTGGAGGTCACAACTGTTCAGCAAATAGAAAACGGGTCAGTTGACCATAAGAAAGTGGTATATAAATTAGGTGATCAACCCCCACCTTTGGCTACTGAAGAAGTAGAACAAGTAATTGCCAGTCAAGATTGTGACAAAAGTGATATCGTGTTAGTAGAGTCAGATGAGTTCTTTGAAGAAGATCACGCTGATTGCTCTTCGAAAGAACAAGAATTTGAGTTGGATCAAGTTACTTGTGATCAACAATTGAATATTTCTGTTGACGAAGGAGCCTTAGTATTCGACAACGACCTTCCATCACCTCCGATTTCAGTTTATGAAGAGTTACATAAAGAGAATACTGGAGAATTACCAGCATTTCCTTTGACACCTTCAGTAATTCCAGAAAATTGTATCAAATCTGAATTATTGTCAAATCACCAACCACAAGCGATACCTGAATATCGTACAGATACTAAAATTGGACAAATTGTAGGTGAAACTCTAGATAAAATAAGTGATAATTACTTAGTTGAACCAATTAATTTTTCTTCAGATTCCATCCCATCTACAAAAAACTTTACAGAGGAAGACGCTGAAAATTCACTACAAGAGCCTACTGGAGAACAACTGAATAGTCAATCCGTTGACTACTTAGAAAAAAGTATTGATATAGAGGTTCGAGTTGACGAACAGAACGACCTCACTAGTACATGCGAACTGAAAGACAAAACAAACATTGAAGAAAAATCAACAGAATTGCTTGACTTTGAGGAAGAATCAATCAGTTTATTGAATCCTGAAAACGAAGCAACCGAATCATCTTACGTAGAAAAAGAATTTCCTACATTATCTACCAGTGAGAAACAAGTTAATAAATCGTCTGATCTTGACGAAGAAATAACTAATCCGGTTTGCATCGAGGAAGCAATAAACGATCCTGGTAAATCAGAAAATCCTCAGACTTTTCTACCATACAGAAATAAATCATCTGTTGAAATTTCGAATTCCTTATCGTCTACTGAATTTTGTCCAGAAGAAGAAGTAGTAGTAGTGGACGAGCACAGTAGAAATAGTAGTTCTACAATTGGCGCTGAACTACTAGACGAAACACATTCTAGCGCTTTGTTCGTAAAGTCTGTAACATCGTCAGTACTAACCGATTCACCAAATCACTTGACAGGTACTAATTATCGAAACTCATTTGCATCTAGTGAAGTTGTACCATCGAAACATACTTTATCAATTGATTCTCTAAGTGAATCTGTGAATAATACTACAAATACTAGTAACAATAACGATAATTTAAAAGAATTAACACTAAACACTTTAAATTGTGATACATCAATGAGTACTACAGTTGGTGTATCTGATATTACGGCTGATCAATCGGAACTCAATCGGGAATCATACATTTCATATCCATCGTATGACATTGACAATACCCCAGCTCAAAGTTCTTTTGGACATTTAAATCATATGAATCATGGTGAATATCAAAACAGATTAAATGGTGGAGAAGATGAATATTTACCAGGTGATATTAAAGAAAACATTAGTGGAAATAATAATAGTAATGAAGATATTCCCATGAACGATGATCGATCAGAGTATACTAATATGAAAACCGAAGAAAGTTATCACGATTCTACGTGTCCATCGCATTCAGAACAAGAATTGGATCAAGACATTTTGAAAAATGAACATGGCAAAAATGAACTGGTTGCTGAACAAAATATGGAATGTTTAAATATTCAAAATGTTGAAAATCAACAAAAATTATCGTTTAATCAAATCAAAGAAGATTTAGAGAAAAAGAAGTGAGTCATAGTGTCGTCTCGTTTTTAATTGTTCCTAAATGAATTATTCTTTTCCCAAGGTTGTTTCCAAGATCAAGTTAGCGATAGAAGTAAAGTATATGAATGATTTTGAGTGATCTGCAAGGCAATCGGAAAAGAATATTCGATTATACAATGATTCTTAGTAAAAAAAATGGCAAAATTATTACAATCGATAAGTAGATTTGACATGAATGATGAACCTTCATACGTGAATTATTCCGGTTTTTATCCTGAAATGACGTCTTTTGTAACCATATGAATGGATGAATTTTGCTCCAAAACTCAGGAGACGCTGACTAAAATCTGATTGGTTTGTCCATATACTTTACTTCTGTTAAGTTGGCTACTATAAGATTGTTTTCATTGTGTAGTGGCATATGAAAGATAAACATCTTAGGCTCTTTATTTCACTCATTTCATTGACGTTTAGGCTGAAAAATTTACACATTATTTACAATTTGGTTATTAAGTTTTTCTTCACATTGAAGTTTCGTCTTTGCAAAGACTTATCAGCACGGAGCTACCGGATTGAGTTGCTTATATGATTTAGAAGTAGAATGACTATATCTATTACAGGCGCCTATTTATCACAATACTAAACGAAGTTGATGTCAAATGATAAACTCATTCTGTTGGGATTTACAAGTATAAAGCAAATGTTAAAACATTAGCACTCAGAAATTGACAATTGTAAAGTTGATTTATATTTCATTCATTACATCACATTATCCTTCTCTGTAAGTTGGTATTTTTACTAGAAAATTTTCAGACTAGTATCTACAATGCAGCTTCTTAATGGACTGGGACAACCACATATTTTTGTGGTTACTTAAAACTAATGATTTAGCTCAACTTCAACTTCGTTGATTGATATTTTACACGCAAATATGAATTAATTTTGATCAAACAATGTTTTTGACAATTATTTTCTATATATGTGGTGAAAATTGATTACCCAGAATACATTTACTGTCTCAGAATTGGTTATTTTGTTTGAATGAACAGGTGAATGTTACTATGATTTGATTGACTGACATAATTTGAAAGTTATTGTTTTCTGAGTGGTTAATTTGGACGTTTTCACCCGGAAAGATATTCTTTTGGGTTGATTAAAGCATCTTTAAAAGTGGGATAAATGAATAAAAAAACCTCACTCATTAATTTTTGAGCTTCATATGAGCTGTATAAATGATATACATTACGCGAAATTCATAGAAACTATATATTCATTCTTGCTGTACATAACAATTTATAAACATTTAATTTAAATCTCAGGTTTAACAAATTCTCTAGCTGTTTCATAGTTGGTGCGTTTAGTAATCGCAAAGTTGACGTAGCTGAATTCCAACCATGGAACACTGGACAGTTGTTTCTTCCTTGTATGTGACTCTCTGACAAGGCTTGAGTTCAGGGTCTTAAAATTTCGTGGCCATTACTTAACCTTTTGTCTCATACTAGGCAGAACAACTGCCCAGTACTCCCTGATTTTTGATAGTATCTAGCTTAAGTCATACCACGTTGAGAACCACGTTCAAATTAAACGTGTCTCCACAATATTCGTACATCGAAACCACGACCATTATCTCATAAGTAAATTACATGAAAATAATTCACTGAACTTATGGTCAGGAGTGATGGTTACTAGAGTCCAGGTATTCTGAGAGTTGAACAGTTATCAACTGCAGTTCCATATTACGAATTGTTTGAAAATGGAAATATCTGCCGTTGGATACCAACTTAGTGATCTAGTGGTTCAAGTTTCAATGAGGGATTTGAGGCTCTCAGGTTTAATTAACGGTAGAAAACTGAGTATACACTCCTGAGGATTCTAATTCAAGCACAGAATATCCGTTAAGTGCTCTCTGTTTCCACTGGGACTCGAACTGAAAACGATTTATGACGAATACTAACTAATCTCCAAGAAGCCTCTACATCGAAACTATAGTACTATTTTAGTAATTATTTTCTCATCAAATTTTTTACCCCGCTTATTATGACCAACATTTTACAATAGATTTCTTAAAATAAGGATTGTTTCTTTGGCATTTTCCACACTAAAGTACTGAGGGAAATTTTTACTCATGTGTATAACGTCTTTTAATGCAATCTTCAAAACTAACTGATCTGCGAATACTCTTCTTTACTCCTTTTTTTCTGAAAGTAAAAATTAATTCACTTTTGTATTGTTTACTTGAATCTTCCCATTGATGCCTGGAACTGCAACTGATTAGTCTCTTACATGTGCTTCCTGTTCGGAATGCTTCGATATCGCATTAAGTCAAAAGCACTATAGACACTCTATTGCACAATTTAGTGACTATCTGGACTCAGTAGCTAAGCGGATATCGCGATGGCGTCTGAAGTGAACGGCACTGGGTTCGAGTCCCGAAGGGAATATCAACTCGGATGCAGGTACATTTATCTGACGAGTCCCAAATGGGACGAAACGCGCATCCTGGATTCCACTGCTAGCCATTAGTTTTATTATTGATCAACTGACTGTTATGGTTTCGTTATGAACCGTCATCAACAATAATATTTAGTAAACACCGTGGAAAGTAATTAGTAATTTATTTATTCTATGTTGTTGGGATTTAACAGAAAACAACTCTCTGAAAATGTGTAAAATGGCCTTAAGGTTTCATAGTGATTAGATTAATTTGATTTAGCTGGGTCGGAAAGCAACCATTGGTTAATACTTTTCAAATTAATCAATTTTATGACAATGAGTTTAACTGATTGTAAAAATTATACAGTTCAATTAGTTTGCTTGTAAAATAGATTAATCTGGAAATAGCTTTCTACGGAAATTGAGTAGGTTCGATTCATGTGATGTTTAGTGTACCAATATGTCTTTTGAATATATACAAACTAGTTGTTCAGCTGATTGATTATGAAAACCATTTACATTCTGGGTTAATTTTCATTAAGGATAACGAGTAAGAAAAAGCATTGAACCTAAATTAGCAATCTTCATCATCTACGGGTTTCACGGTTTACATTTTTAGTTTCAATGAATTCTTTAACTTTGTCACAACTTCCCTCTAGAATTTTGTAATTTTTTTAAAAGTTAGTGTTACTCATCTCATCGGTCAATCATCTGGGATTAGTCTATGATGCAAGCCATAACAAATCCTGATGTTATAGGCATAGATAGATGGTGGCTAGCAGTGGAATCCAGAACTCGCGTTTTGTCCCATTTGGGACTCGTCAGCCAGATGTACCTTCATTCTAGAGTTGATATTCACTCAGAGACTCGAAACCGTCGCCGTCCCAAATAGGATGAAACGCGCGTTCTGGATTCCGCCTCTAACCACCATCCGTCTTTGCTCATAATGCTTGTGAGTTAAGACAGTATCGAGGCAAATCGAACAGGAAGCACATATACCGATAAGAGAGTGATCAGTTGCAGTTCTAGACATCAATGGAAAGATTCAAACATCCAATACAAAATGGATTAAATCCTAATGTTTTTTCAGGTTTTTTACGGTTGTTTCCGACTGATAGTTGAAAAGTAATTATTCTCACATCTATTTTTCTGCTTAATTCCGAATAACCAAGTTAAAGGAAAGTGAAAACATGTTATTTGTTTAGTTGAATATAAACTGATGATAAAGACATCACCAATCTCATGTGATGACGACGGCTTACTCTATCTGTAAAACAGTTCATCAAGAGAATGATAAGTCAAAGATTTAGATCGATAAATAATAACTCAACAATCGAAAGTACAAGGTCGTTATTTATGTCCATATATTACATGGTTAAATGTTCATTCAGAGAATTTAATCATACATATCAACATATGAAGCAACTATTGAATGGGACTCTCGACTGCGCTTTGTACACATAACCTTTATTTATTGCGGTAATAACATTACTCTAATTACTGAATGCGATATCCGATACTGATAAACAAGTCTTTCATTTACAAGCTCAACTGACTACTTTAGTGAGGAACTTTATACATATAATCCAAAAAAAGCATTAGCCATATTTTTTCATCAATGTAGTGTCTCATTCCTTAGGACAAAGGCTGCATGTTGGGCGGTTGAGTGAACTGATCATTTGTCTGATGCCTGATCGGCCCACTGGGGGATAGTCCAATGCTGTATGTCTTCAAATATGATTAACTCCATTACACTTACTCAATAGTAGTTATGTAGAAGGTAGAACCAAAACACTTAAATTGAGATAAGATGGTAGTTGGAGGTAGTCAACAGGAAACCTAGTGAACACAATGAGGAGTCACATAGACTAGTGGCCACATTACAACTTGGTCAATAGCATTCGACCTATGCTAAGAAGGACCTGACACATATGACATTGATCACCGTTCAGTGATCAGTCGATTGTGAACACTTATAATGATTTATCAAATGTTTGCAGACGTTTCCGCTTGGGTTTTTGTCCTCATCCCACACATAGAGCGGAAGTCACAGGGATTTAAGCCATTTGTGCTATTTTTCTGTTCCTCATTTGGTCAGAGAAGACTTAATAGATGGTGTTATTAATTCTTTGTGTTCATTAATCGTTTCACTTGTTTTCTTTACTATCTACATACTTTAAATGACTATCCAAGCATCTCCCATTACTGAGCTTCATATGACTGGTTTGATGAGTTTATTCTTCCAAGCTTTGGCCTACTTCTCGTGTCAATATACTTGTTACCGTTATCATACTGTTTGTTATTGTTATCACTACCAATAAACTTATCATTTCAATATCAATTTGTACTTTTACCTGTCAGAACTGGTTACGTAATACTTTTTTTGTTGTTATCATTCACACAGATTGATGTAGTTTTAATATTTTTCATATACTCATATAAATATTGCTACATAATTAAATCCTGATGAAGGTCTAACTGAAAACAATATAGTTTGCTTATATGTGTTGATCTGTTTCATAGTACAACATGATCTTTATTCACTGTTGTCAGTTAGAGTTGCTGCTTAACTCAAAACCATACATGCATGACTTTCTGGTAGAACTAAAAGGAATTCAGTTTAGTTTTCCATCGACAGCCTTATGTTTACCATTATTCTTTATTTAAGGCAGGTTTATGGGAAGTTAATTTCTTTCCAATATAACTGGTAGATAGTAGCTGAAATCATTGAAATATGTACAGCTATTTCCTCCTGATTTCAATGAAGATCACGAGAAATAGCTAGTTGGCGGTAATTAAAAATCTAGATCGAATTAATGAAAGGTCGTTTATTTAATACAAAATTAGAAAGCATATTTCTGAAAATTCCGGAACGAAAGCGAAACAATCAATCAGTCATTTTTATTTCCCACCAGTTTTTAAATTATTTTTGATATGTGCATTCCTCTATATGTAAATTACTTCCAACTACAATTTAACAGAGGTAAAGAAAATGGAAATAAATTAGATACTTGTGATATGCTGATAAGAAAGGATAGTTAAAGAAAACAATGGGATTGGGGAACAATTGGTAATAGTTGTTGAAGTATTAAGACAAAAGTTTAAAACCAAAGTAAAACTGTATCGTTGATTTCTAGTACATTTCTGCATCTGCTTAAAATTGCTAAAAAGCATTAAGGTCTATCAAATAACCTTTTAGTCCTGTTCTTTCTTTTTTTTTTTTACGACGGAACAACCTTATAATTCTTGATCATTGGAATTAAGTCTGTAAATTACGGGCTTCAGAATAGACACTTAGTTCTTTCTTACAAAACGATTTTAAAGTTTCATCTAGTGGAACCTAATCTAATGGTCATGTTACAAGTTTGCCATAGATTCCAGCGTTCCAAAGTATTTGAACAAAATTAAGATTAAACGTACTGAGTGTTTCCAATTTTAAATGTTTGTTTGTTCAAAATCAATTCATGATGAAAATAGGAACTGTTCAAATACGAAGTATTAAGATTTCCCTTTGAAACGGAGAGATAGATTCGAGTTTCGATCAATATGAAATGAAGAATAAAGTAGCCTAAGATTGGATAACTAACCATGTGTAGAACAGTGATTTATGATTTATCAATACGTAAAAACGTGTTACAGGAATCAAACATTATATTGTGGTGTTTGCTTATTTTTCATGTCTATAACTGTTCGAACTAAATTACTTAAATCCTAACAGTAAAAAGATTGAAAATTGTGAGACGGCAACCGGTCTTTAAAATGATGATTGAAGACTTCAGCATAATGTGGAGCTCTGAAAACCGCTGTAACAAGACATATATCATTACTGCTACTACTGTCAATCCTAGATAGTCATTCATAGTCTTTTGCAACCAGTATTGAAAGTCTCATACATCAGACTCATTATTGTATTTTATTGTTGCATTTGTTATTAAGTAGTATTTGTGATATGTAAATGAAGACTTTTACCTTAATTTGGTCAGGAGTAGCCAAATAAAACATAATACAGTGGTTGTGTAGATTCATATGTGTGTAGTTTACACGCCTACTGATATGTAGTGTGCCACACAATTTGTTACTATTGGTTATAAATTAAGTCTGTCACATGACTTTTTCGTGTGTCTCGTTTTTAAATGTTCTTAATTTCACATTCTGTTATTACTTAATGTCGATTCCATATTTAAAATGGATCGTTATTGCTATTGTGCTTGCGACTAGATCAAGATGTTTCACGAATGACTTTTCTACAAATCATTTGAATCCTTTTTTAGTTTAACCTGGAATTTCAAGAATACACACGTTTCTTACTCATAAAAAGGCTATTAAAATTTTTGTACTATTATTTAGCAGATAACTATAGGGACTTTAATTATTATTTTTTTTTAAATTAACGAAATAGCGTGATTGGTTCCCTTCAACCACTACGACCTGAACAATATATTATGCATCATCAAGCTGGTTTGATTAAACAACAAGAGACGTTAATTTTAAATCCACAAACTGGCGATGTATTAAGTGATCAATATTCATCACATCATCAAACAAATACAATAACAACAGGTGGCACACATCACTTTGCTAGAAATATAGCATCGAATAATTCTGTAGTAGTTCCTACAGGCGGAAATGTTAGTGGTCCTCCAGTTGGATCTGGAACAGTAGCAGGTCAACAGAAAGGTTCTACTATTTATCCTAAAACTGGTCAAAATCCTATTGATGGAGGAACAAATGGAGGTGTTGGTGCTAACAGCAGTGGAAATGCTGGTGGTGGCCCTGGAAAAAGTGGAGCTTTAGTTGGTGGTGGTTTGGATAGATCTCGACAAGTATATAATATGTTTGAATGTCAAATGTCACAACTTACAGTATTTTTGGATCGTGCACTTATATGTAGACGTATCAGACCACGTTTCAATGCATCGGACATTACAGAAGTTGTTTTTGAGCATTTATCACCAGCTATTGATAAAGATTCTATTCGGTAAGTTTAATTTTCTTGTTTTGTATTTTACTGTTTATAGTAAAACTTTGTTTTAGAAAGTGTTGCTTTTTTAACTTATCATTAACAGAAGAATAAAAATCAATGTTTTAAGTTACGTAACTATTATGGGTTTATTAATTATTTATCTAGCAACGCTCTGGTATCATTTGAAAAAAGTTAGTGCAGTGACAAACATCAATATGTATCTGTGTCATCATTAGTTTGGAACTTATTCATAATGGATAATCTTAACCTTTTTTACTATTTAGTATCTAATGTATGACATGTGATATTTAGGCGACTGGATTTTCAAAGTTCAGTATGTGACTATTAGAAAAAAGTGTTCCATTTATTCTGATTGAGGTTATTCTCAACATTTTCATTATTCAATAACTGTGTTGTATTCAGTACTTTCGACCATTTTCCCCCTCATTTAATAATAAGCTGCTACACATAAGAGTATAGTTTTCATTTTTAATGTTTCATTTCAAACCCTCACTTTAACTATATTTATGCTTTACATACATGATGTTACGCTGCGCTACACTGACATGTTGATTGTACATAGTTTTGTATACATGAAATGTTAGTATAAATTACGCTTCAATCAGTAACATTCACTCAGTGAATAGTTGAAGAAAATAACCGAAAATACTGAGTATATTAACCATCATTTATTTAGTTAGGAATTAATCTCTATTAAGTCATAAAGTCATTAAGCAATAGATTTTTCAAAGTTTTCCCAGTGAATATATATTTTAAATGAAATATGTCGTTCATCTATTTCAGTAATATTTTTGTGATCTTATTTTGTACTTATTATTAATCTTGACTTTAAAAAAAAAGTATTTCTGTCTTATAAATGTACTTTAAATAGTAATCAGTCATATACAAATAAGTTTTTATAGAAATAACAACTCACCTTATTTCCAATAAATCCAATTTAGTTTCATAAATCAATTTTATATTTTAAGTACAATAAAGTTCATTTAGTAAGTGGATACTCTGGTAGTAACAACATTTGAATTGTGACTAACGTAAATTTATTATTATGTATACTTGAGGTTAACAGTATAGAAATTAATGACATCAGTTACTAAGTATATAAGATAGTTATCCTTCAGTGAAGGGAGTTAGTTATGCACTTAGTGTTAGAATTGCATTGTACTCTCTTTGGATTAAAACAAATGGTAACTGTCATGATCAACTGTCACTATCACATGAATCCGAGTAGCATCTTAACTGGTTTTTCATAAAGAAAAATATTAAGTAATAACTCGATTTATAGTATAAAAAATTATTAGAAGGGATGGATGTTGGCTAACAGTGGAATCCAAGACGGGCGTTTCATCTTATTTGGAACTCGTCTTTGGTTAAATGTACCTGCATCCTAGAATTGATGTTCACTAAAATCTTATAGCAGTACGAAACAATTGGTTTTCAATGGCACGACCTACAAGTTAAATCAATCTACATAAAACTCCACCAGCTAAAGTTTATATTAATTGATAAATACTCACTTGGTAGTAAGTTGAACAGTATGACTGTCTGAATACTTTGTTCCTGGTATTTCAATTGAGGAGTTCGTTTTTAGCTAAAAAAAAAGGTACCAATTTAACATTTTAAAATCGCTCATAGTGGTTGTTAATAATTTAACTTCTGATGTTATTCAGTTTAGCACTCTATCGGTTTACCTTAACAGTGAATGATCATTAGCAGTATATTTCTAAAAATCACCATTTGGAGTTGATAATAAAAAGTAAACAAACCATACAAATTTAATCATTTTTTAATGTTACTTCACTTTGGTGTTGTTTTACTTGTATCTTCCCATTGTTATTTAGTACTGCAATTGACCAGTCTCAACTGCAGTCATAAACAACAATGGGAAGATACAGGTAAAACAACACCAAGTGAATTTAAACGTCACCCCATTGCAAAAGCAGGTGGCTATCAGGGCCCAGTAGCTAAGTCGATATCATGATAGCGTTTGAAGCGAACAGTACTGGGTCCGAGTCCCGAAGTGAAGATCAACTCTGCGATGCAGGTACATCCAGCTGACGAGTCCCAAATGGGACGAAACGCGCGTCCTAGACTCCACTGCTAGCCACTATCCATCTTTGCTTAAAAATCACTTCACTTTGCTTAAACTAACTAACCAGATTCCCTTCATTTTTTTCCCTCTCTTGAAACTGATTCTTTTCTAAATTTAATTTTAATCAAATTGAACAGTTTTCCCACATTTATTCAGTTAAATTTATGAAATAAGGTTCGAAGTTAATTAACTAATTTTCTTAAAATTAAATAATCTACATTTTAAAGAACAATTAATTTCTCTATCCCTACTATTATTATTCTTATTATTATTTTACATTTGCTTGTCTCAGGAATTATCACATCGCCAAGTTGACTAGTTCATGTTTACTCTTCATGTAGCAATAATATATTCTTCTACAGTTTTGGTGAGTTATTCTGTTCAGTTGTAATGATTTTTATCATGAAACTGGACCACATATTTGGATGGAATCGATTGAAATTAACTGAAATCAACTTGTATATAGATGATTACTGAAAAACAATCAGTATGTAGTCTGAGCGTTTTTTTAGCAAGGTTGTTTCCTACGTGATGGGGTTGTTGACCCCATACCCTTTCCTCCCCTTTTACCCAGGTTTGGAACCGGCAGTAACCCTAGAAGAGCTACAGGCAGAGTTATGTAATCTGAGATGTGTAACTACAATAAATTGTTCATTCTTTCAATAACAACTTTATTTCAATTATTTAAGAATATATATTATGCTGATCTAATTCCCCTATCAAACTTCAATGTGGCCAATTACCTCCGACCACCTAACATCAAAAATAGTGAACACGATGTAGAGTCACTTGGTCTAGTCGTCACATCAACACTTTATGGATAAGATCTAGCCAACAGTAAAAGGTTAGATAAAAAATGATATTGGTCACTACCCAGTGATCAATCGGCTGTATGCATCTCATTTCTACAACATGCTAGTTTCTGGCCAAATAGTTGTGATATTGTTTCAGGCTGTGAAATTTAGTGGTACAAAGATGTGAACCTACCAGGTAGCATCGATTCCCTCAAGAATGCAGGTACGCCTCGCTGAGGAGTGCCGAATAGCACGTAACCTAAATCGAGCAGCTTTTCCTGTCGACCAGTCCCAACTATCTATTAATGTCTGATCTATTCTGGTGGTTAAAGACAGGCTTTTACTTTTTTAAATTTTTGATGAGAATGATAATGACAATAATAATAGTCTGAGTTAATATTTGGACAAACATATTTCTCTCCCTATAAAGAATGAAATATTCTCCATTCATTGTATGAATTAAAAATATATAATTTTTGTATTTTTAAAATGTTAGTTTCCGAACAGACTTTTGATTTTGTGGTAACTAATCGCAGTCTGGACTATATAAATCTGTACGTGAAACAATTTATCAGTCAATTGAATGGAGTATGACTTTGACTTATCACTAAAACTTTTACTTGTCTAGTGCTTAACTCAAAGACTTTCAGTAGTGATGATAATATAAAGAAATGAAGTATGTCTTCTAAAAAAATATACAACACAAGGGGAGAATATAAAGCCGTATAAAAAATCTTTAAAAATGAATAAATGACAGGCTAATTGATTGTTCTCGAACATATTATTAACCGATCATTAACATGAGTTGTCAGTTACATCCATTTCGGTTATTTTATGAATAATCAACTCCTACTAAATGATTCCCAAGTTGATAGTATGATGATCAGATAAAGACATGAGAATAATTCAACTTAGGTTATATGTAACATATTCAATACTATTCCCTCTGTTGTATCCAGAAATTTTGGTTATTTTCCTATTCATTTTGTAAATGGGTATTGTATATTGAAATTTAACTTTCATAAAACATTTCATTTTGAGCTATAACGTTTATTTGTGGTTTTTCCTCTGTGTATCGAGCTGTGTTACACTGGGCATATCCATAACCAATAAATCTAGTTAAATGAAATGAAATTTTTGATGATACATCAATCATTTACTAGATGAATGAAAAAATAGGACTTGAAGCGCTAGGTACGACAAACTTAGTTAACACTGTAAATGTTTTCAGATCATCCCAACACTTAGCTGTTTTCTATATTTTATATTGTCTTCCTTTTTATTGGGTTCATATCTCTCACTTTTATATTTTTTCATGTAACTTTGTGTCAGTCACCACACTGTGACTATTTGTAAAGTCTCTAATTAGTATCGTGATTGTAGTAAACGAGGAAAACCAAACAGTACTTTTGTAAAACATGAAAATCATACATTAAATACGTCGTCTGCATACCTTCCTTCAGTTGTCCTTTATATACTTTATCATTCTTCCGATCCTGTTTTTATACTGATTGCTCTTCATTTTCCTTCCCTTTTTTATTTCACTCTTCCACTAGTAAGCATTCTACTTCCAATTCCTTCTACATACTACTTATATCTGTCCTCATAAGAAGTGCATACCACATGATGTATAGAATGACAAATTCTTTGTTGTCGTTGTTATTATTATTGGCCCTAATCAACTGTTACATTAGTTTAATGTTAGAAAAATATTTAGATATATCATGTGATTTTACCTTTGTTCTTTACTTTCGTAAACTGCTTCATTATATTGTATTCGCGATCAGTTTAGATAGGAGGAGAGACGAAAATTACGTGTTAAGTATTTTCATGAAAATCAGTTCCAAAATCGATACATTTGTGTTGTGATAAAAATAGAATTTGGCAGTTTAATGATGCCAGAATTGTTTACATCACCTAGTATTTACGTACATTTAGTTTATTTCAGAATATATCTATATTCTTTATACAATATTAAAAAGTACAGTTCAGAAAAAAATAATTAAATGTTTCGTCAAATATGTTCACAGTAGAATAGTTGATGAAATGACATTTGATCTTTGAAGTGTTTGATTAGTCCAATAAACTAAACAATCACAATTTCAATAGTT